CGTGAATTGACCTTTGGCAGACAGTAATGTGACCACTCTTACGACCTTGTCCGGACCAGTATGTAATTGTACTACCTTGCCCAATTTCCATTGTAAAGGAGGTATATTATCTTCCTTCATCAATACCACTGTACCAATCTTCACTCTGGGCCCCTTTTCGCCTTCCCGTTTACTACGTTGCTGTAATTGAGCCAAATATTCCTTTTGCCATCGAGACCATATTTGTTGGAATGCCTGTGTTACTCTTCGCCACCTATTTAATCTATTTATAGGTGTGGTGGTAGTGTCAGGCTCAGGTATAGCAATCAACGAGTCTCCAGTAAGGAAATRGGCCGGAGTTAAAGCCTTTAAATCGGAAGGATCGGAAGACAACGGGCACAAGGGACGAGAATTTAGACAAGCCTCTACTTGAATTACAACAGTGTTCAATTCCTCATAAGTCATATTTGCGTTACCTACCGTTCTGTATAAATGAGTCTTTACCGATTTTACCGCAGCTTCCCACAGACCCCCAAAATGGGGGGATCGTGGTGGTATGAAATGCCAGCGGAGTTCCAATTTGGTGAAATATCCTTGGATGGTTTCCATACTTTCTTTGTTATGAAATAAATTTTTTAACTCGGATAATCTGCGATTGGCCCCAACGAAATTTGTTGCATTGTCTGAGTATACATCTGAACAGAGTCCTCTTCGGCTGGTGAAACGTTTTAGGGMGTTGACCAGTCACAAACTAATTCGAGATGTATTGCTTTCGTGGCAAAACATACGAAAACGCATAAGTATCCCTTTGCAATGGGCGCATTTCGACGTAAACTTCCTTTAATCATGAAAGGTCCAGCGAAATCTATACCACATACGGAGAATGGTCAACTTGGTTCTATCCTTTGTTTTGGCAGGTTACCCATTATTGGTTGAACGGTAACAGGCTTTGTTCTAAAACAATGTASGCATTCATAWAATATTTTTCTGGCCATGTTACGTCCATGTATAGGCCAAAAACGTTCTCGAACATAAGAAAGCATTGCAGCTGGACCCCCATGCATTGTTCTTTCGTGTGCATCGCGAAATATTAACTTAGAGATAGAACACGTTTGTGGAATCAACATAGGATGTCGTTGAAATATGTCAAGTGTCTCGGCATTTTTTAGTCTGCCTCCCACTCTGAGAATTTAATTTTTATCCAAGAATGCACATAACCGAAATATTTTGCTTTTTTTAGACACCTGATCAGTTGCTTTCAAATCCGCTATTTCTTCTGATCAATGCTGGACTTGCACTGCTTTCACTATGCATTGAGTTTCCTTGACTATTTCGTCGGGTTGTATTAGTCCGATATTTTTWACTTTAAGACGATTGAAACGTAGACAGTACGCAGTGATACGCAATAATTGCATCCATGATGAACTACGTTCTATAACCGGCCAATCGTTACTAACTGTTGACAAGAGGTTGATTGTTTTTCGCATTTCAGGAATCTCGCCTTTCTCATCAACCTTGGGTATTGTTGGCCAAAAGCTTTCATTTTTCTTTAGCCACGTAGGACCACTAGATTTTTTCGCCTTKTATCATAGCAGGATCTTGGCTGCGAGAAATAACATCAGCGGGATTATCATCACCTTTCACATGAMGCCACTCATGAGCTGACGTCAAGTCTTGAATTTCACCCACTCGGTGGGAGACGAACACATTCCAATTTGCTGAAGGTGATGAWATCCAAGCTATCACTATTGTCGAATTGGTCCACAAGTAACGCCTACTTATTTTTAATTTTAATTTTTTAATTATTTTGTTAGACAATCTGCACAAGAGTACCGCGGCACATAACTCGAGACGCGGGATGGACAATGCTTTCAAAGTTGCCACTCGCGACTTAGCGGCGATTAATCGTACTTCGACCTTTCCTGTCGAATAAGTTACTCTTAAATATAAACAAGCTCYGTAGGCTTCAATAGACGCGTCAGAAAATCCATGCACCTGTATTTCTTTGATACCATCATCGATTATTAGACCTCGCGGAATATTTACTTGTCTTAAGGAGTATAGATTAGTCCTATATGTAATCCATTCGTTTTCTATTGCTTCTGGAAGCGATTCATCCCATTCATATTTCTTGCAAAAAAGTGTTCTCAAGAATAATTTTGCCCGAGTTRTAATATTCATCATAAATATCATAATAGGACCTATAAGACCAAGTGGATCATAAATGGATGCGATGTCTGACAGTATTTTTCTTTTGTTAATTATGGAGCCGCTTTCGTATGGTATAACCTTATACTGCAATAAATCATCTTTTGGATTCCAAATAAGTCCCAAAATTTTTGTAGGACCGTTATCCAACTCCATAATTAAGTTCTTTTCATTATTATTTGATCCAAGTATACCTTCTAGTAAAATAGGATCATTGGCTGCCCATTCGCGTAACTCAAAACCACCTTTACGTAAAATATTTATAACGTCGTCTCTWATACGTATAGTATCTGGAATTGTATTTGCTCCCGACAGCAGGTCATCCATATAGAAATCGTTTTGAATGATTTCGGAGGCACCCGGATGATTTGTCAATTCTTCTTCTGCCAACTTGTGTAGACAGCCTGTCGATAAAAACGAAGCTGGAACGGTGCCATACGTTATGGTGTTTAAACGATATATTTGTATTTTTTCATTAGTATTAGGACGCCATAATATTAATTGATAATCTCGATGCTTTTCTTCGATCAGGACTTGACGGTACATTTGCTTAATATCGGCTGTTATAACGTATTTATGTGTCCGAAATCGCGCCAACAAGGTAACAAGCTCTTCCTGTATTACAGGACCTTTCAATAATACATCGTTTAGGCTTAAGTTCGAAGTAGTTCGGCACGTGCCGTCAAAAACGACACRTAATTTCGTGGTGGCGCTATCGGTTTTTATTACGGCATGGTGCGGTAAAAAATAATGGTTTTTCAGGTCATATGAATCCACAGGTGACATGTGACCTAAACTTTGATACTCTTCCATGAATTTCACATAATCTTCCTTTATGGACTCGTTTGCATTTAATCGTCGTTCTAATTCCAGAAATCTTCGCAAMACTATGTCTAGTGACTCGCCTAATTTTGCTACAGACTCGCGAAACGGCAAACAAACTGTAAATCTTCCGTCTTCTCATCTTTTTACTGTACTATCAAAATGCTGTTGACATAATTTTTCTTCGAGCGAATACGACTTTTTTGACGAGATCTCTTCTGATTACCAAAATCTTGTAACCTTCTCTTCCAATCTTAACATGTCAGTGCACGCAACAAACGACATAATTGAGTTGGACGGGTTGTTTTTCGTGCTAGGCACTTGGCCACTTATAATATAACCAAAATGCGTTTCTTGAAAGAATACTCCATTTTTCACTGGCTGAATACGAACGGTTCCTAATACCTCAAAAAATACCGAGGCACCTAGAATAATATCAATTTTCTGTGGTTTATAATATTGCGGGTCAGCCAGCTGAATATTTCTTGGAACGTTCAAGTTGGATGTATCTATATGYATTAACGGTATATTGTTAGTTAATTTAGGAAACACCAAAAATTCAAAGGTTGATTTGTAATTTGAACCTAGCGATTCTATTGTTGCACACACTGCGGATAACGATTTTTGTTGAGACTGACCTATACCGCAATAGCACATGATAWTTTTGAACGTCGTAATTTTAATATTTGACATACTTCCTCAGTCATAAAATTATTTTGCGAACCAGTATCTAATAATACACGACACTTCATTGACTTTCCGTCTTTGTTATATACCTTAACAATAGCTGTAGCTAATAAAACGGTCGTGCATGTATCTATCTTTGATGCATGAACACTTATCGACGCGGCTTCCGTTGGATTTACATTTGACTTTTCAGTCAACGTATTATTTGTACTGGGCTCACTGGTCGTAGTGGCGAAATTTTTCTTTTTAAAATTGTCTACTTTCATTAAATGTAATAAACTATTGTGAGCGCGTGAACATTTGGCACAACGACGTGATTGACATTTAACATTAGGATGAGAGCGTAAACAAATTTTGCACAATTTAAGAGCATCGATTTTCTTTATACGATCGCTAACTGACAAGGCTAAAAATGACGGACACCGATAAATTGTATGTGCACTAGCACAATTATAAAATTTTATTTCATTCGTTGAAACGTGCGCAGTCAACTTATTTGGCCATCTTTTGGTTACCGTACCGCTTACTTGCTGCACATTATCACCATTCGAGGATTCGATTGCTTCTAACACTAAGAATCTGTTTTGTAAAAATTCTAATAACTTTTCCGCCGTAGGAATTTCATTCTTTTCTGAAACTGTTTACCATTCGCGCAGGCATTCTTTGTCAAGTTTAATCGTAATTAAATGAATTAGCAATGAACCCCACAATTTAGGTTGCTGACCTAACATTTGAAGAGCATTTATATGACCGTTTAGCCCATCGATTAATTGACGCAATTGAAATGACGATTCTGACGTGATAGCAGGTAACCCATACAACGCCTTAGTATGATTTTGAATAAACACTTTTTTATTGTTATAACGCGATACTAAGGTTTGCCATGCGATTCTATAATTTTCGGCTGTTGTTCCTAAACATTGCAAACATTTTTCGGCATCACCTTCGAGTGCTTCACGCAAATAGAAAATTTTTTGTATTTCCGATATATCCCTATTATTGTGTACAAATGCTGTGAAAATGTCATAAAAGGTTGCCCATTCTGAATATAAGCCTGTAAATTTTGGTATTTGCAACGCAGCTAATTTCACGGGTGCTACTTGGTTACTACTCGCACTACTATTGCTCTGGATTTCACTATTTGCACGTGAATAACTGATGCTTTGCTCTGGTTCCTCTTCCTTTATAATTTTATCACAATTCGCCATAGCTTTATAATAAACATCTTCGACTTCGATGCGGTACTTTTCACTATCCTCCGATACTCCACTCTCTTCTTCAATTGACGACTGAACTTCCTCGAAAGCATCAAACAACTCTTTTAAACGATCTTTTCGACTTCTTATCTGATTAACCTCAAGATTACTTCGTTCTCCTAGCGTGTAACTTAAAATACGCGTCATTTGGCCCTTTAATACTCCGCGGCGACTTACAAGCGTTGCCGATTCACCCATAATAAATAATTAATTATTCAGATTTAAATAGACTACTACGGTAAGGTAACGCAAATTAAGTTTGTAACGGCCAAAAGAAACACTGCTGTTTCTATACGAGGAATTTGCCTAAGGTAATTAAGAATTAGATCTCTGACCTTTAATCGACATTTGATCTGTGTTGAGCTGCTGACCACGGACAATTCAATTTCTCATTGAACGGCAGAATGAACTATAAATCACTTCAATTTACAATTGAACTTGTATGAATAATACTCATGTATTCCGATATTATGAACACGATTTATGATATGATTATACAATATCAGATATCGTTATATCCATKTAAACAACTATACGTGATAATGTGACACTTATACGCGGCGACGGTACGACTGCTAACGATAACGTTACACCGATTCGACGCTTGTACGAATTTCGGCAATTTCGCTATAACGAATAACGAATTAACGAATAACGAATTAATGAATTACGAATTACGAATTAATGATTTTAAACAACTGCGATCGAATGACAGAATCAATTTACGATGAATACTTTATTCGACCTTAAAAAAAAACGAACTGCGACGTGTGTAAACACGTGATTTTAACATAATACGCGTAACGCACTAACTCATCCGACTCGAATGGACCATGTTTTCTTTCGAAATGTTTTACGGGCGAGACCCGAAGGTAGGAATAAAGTATATTTTATGATTTACTCGAAAACTATTTTATTATTTAAACGAAAAGATTTTATTCAAAAACGGACGTTTTTCTCTCGAGCACATTACRATTACGAAGTACGAACGAACGTATGTGTATATTTTTATTGATAACGGTATTGATTTGATAATAAGTAATAACCGTTGACCGATTGATGTTGTGCTCGAAATCAAACACATAGAATTAAACATAATAAATATGTAGTTTAAGGTTATTATTTAATTATAATAGATTAAAACTAACAGCTTTTTTTATTTTAGAAACTCAGAGAAATGAATGCCAATATAAAAAAAAAAAATCACACTACTTATTTCAATCATGTTGGATATAATATAAACATAAGATTAAACATTAAAGACATATAACATGCAAATTATCAATCGTTTAAAATTAAATAATAATTTAAAGTTAAATCAACTTACTGTCCTCTATTATAGACAGAGAATACCCGATAATAACTAATAGGTATAATAATAGGTTTAATAATTATAAAAAATTCAACAAATGTTATGATTAAAGTGGAAAATCAAGTGATTTACTTGAAATGTTGCAAATGAATTATCAAAGTTTTTGGTATAATATAAATTTCGAAACATAATAATTATGGTAGAAAAATCATTAGAACCTTACTTAAAATAAGACTCCTTAGTTATAACATATTCATACTTATATAGTTATATGTATACTATCAGGTCATGCATAGAATTAAACATTATAAATGCGTAGTTTAAAATTAATATTTAATTATAATAGATTATAATTTATAATAAGCGGTTTTTGTTTTTTTAATGAGACTCGGAAAATAGAATACATATATTTAAAAAAAAACAAATAACAATAATAATTAGAATCATATTGGGTATAATATAAACCTAAGTTTAAACTTCAAACATATTTATGATGAATATTATAAATCGTGTAAGATTATACAGCAGAGCATTTGCTCTGAGATTTTTCCGGATTACCTGAGGTTTTTCAAAATTACCTDCTCAAATTACTAAGATTTTATTTTGAATTTCACTATCTTTATATTTATTGCATTTTAAATTACAAGAATAATAATTAAATTACATTAAAACTAAACTAATGAATTACAAAAAAAATGTTTATAATAATATGTAGACCTTAAGTACCTACTGTAGTCGGTAATTATTTTCTGAATAATACTTTTAATTTTAATTTCAAAAGCGAGTTCCCTTAATCAACGTACCAACAAAATATAAGTACTATACATGTTCTCATCTTCCGCCCACTGCAATACAGTATTCAGTACATTCACAGCTTTTGAAGGAGAAACTTTTAAAGAAGCATCGATTTTGTAATATATACGACGTCCTTGACGTTAGTATAGTGATAAGCTTCGCTTATCTTAAATTATATTCTTTTCTTCATTGTGCATTGTGCTTCCTTGCTTAGCAACAGCATTATTATATTTCACGTTAAGTAATGTCTCATGTGTTATTAAATAAAGTTATAACAGTTATAAATTAAAACATGTTGTTTTACCTACTACAATAACCAATGTATTGATATGGTGTTATACATTACAG